TCTGAGAAAGTGAAACTCACTTGATCAACCAAAATATGGACGCCTGAGACGATCAAGCTCTTTAAACAACAGAATGTTTATTGAGCCATTCAAAGACACTTGTGGACACATCTGATACTCACAGGTAAGTGACAGAAATTGAGATTGTCCTGAACATGGTTTCTAATGGAAGTTATCACTTTAACCTCCTTCTCGGTTAGAACAGATTTAATTTACACTTGAGTGATCAAAATTATTACAAGAAGCAAATGGGCTTAATTGTTTGTTTGTCAGTTTATTGGTCAATATTTTTTTGTCAAAAACAATGTATTTTTTCTTGAAAAGAGGTGAAGAACAATGGCAGAATCTTCATCAACATCAACAAAAGGAAGAGAAAACAGAAGACTGAGTATAGATGAACCTCCATGTAAGTCAATAACCTGTAAAAAACGAATTAGTGCCTGAATGACTTTCACTTTATTTATATGAAAAATATTATTTTACTTATTAAAGAAGTACAGTCTTAGAAGAAAAAGTTCTATATTAGACTTTATGGGTTCTATCAGGCATTTCATATTTGCAACAATATCTCTGACTGTCTCCATGTTATAACTCTTCTTGTGTTGTGGGGGCTTGGCATCCTGGTTGGAGATGCAAGTCATACAAACAATTTCTCTCTAAAGAGAGAATTGTAACAGATCGGCCAGGCTCCGCCACCACCCAATCACAACGATCCCTCTCACCTGAGTTCTGAGCACCTGCACCTGTCACCAATCAAGCACCTCATTATCAGCCTGCATAAAAGCACACACCTCAGACACCCTCACTGTCCGGTCTCGTTTACACGTAGGGGACTCAATGACTTTGCTACTGAATTCCTTTGAATACTTCTTGCATTACTTACCTCCTGTGTTCCTCCTAGTGTCTCCTCGTCTCCAAGTGTCTCCTGTATCTCCTAGTTCCCGGATCGCTGAGGTGTGTGCTTCCCCCGTATCCCTTCCAGCCTCCATCAAGCCAAAGACTCGGATTACTCCACTCTCCATATCCTTTGCACTCTCTCACGGACCTTTCCCTCACCATCACTTCCTCCGGATCCGACACCAGTACTCACTGTGACCTAATAAGAGCGCACCCCACTGATTCACTCTGCTCACTCCTCCCGAGGCACTGGTCATCCAGGGGCCAACAACACCCTCTCGCTGCTACAAGATCGCTTCTGGTGGCCCAATATGGCAAGGGACATGAGAAGGTTCGTGCAAGGATGTCCAGACTGTGCCATGTCCAAGAGCCCGCGCCATTTACCATCTGGCAAACTCCTTCCACTACCGGTGCCAAATCGCCCCTGGTCACACCTAGGAGTAGACTTTGTCACTGACCTGCCCCCCTCTGAAGGTAACACATGCATCCTGGTAATAGTTGATCGTTTCTCAAAGTCATGTCGCCTTCTGCCCCTCAGAGGTCTCCCCACGGCCCTAGAAACTGCGGAGCTGCTATTCAATCACGTCTTCCGATATTATGGACTTCCCGAAGACATTGTCTCCGACCGGGGACCTCAGTTTATCTCCAAGGTATGGAATGCCTTCTTCAACCTCCTAGGTGTGACCGTAAGCCTCTCGTCCGGTTACCACCCACAATCAAATGGGCAAACGGAGAGAAAGATTCAGGAGGTGGGACGATTTCTGCGAACCTTCTGCCATGGCCACCAGGATTCCTGGAACCAGTTCCTGGGCTGGGCTGAGTACGCCCAGAATTCCCTGCGACAGCCTTCTACTGGTCTCACTCCCTTCCAGTGCGTGCTCGGGTTCCAGCCTCCACTGTTCCCCTGGTCTGGGGAACCTTCTGATGTTCCGGCGGTGGACTACTGGTTCCGGGAAAGCGAGAGGGTCTGGGACGCTGCTCACCACCATCTCCAACGGGCAGTGCGCAGGCAGAAGACAACCGCGGACCTTCGAAGAGCTGAAACACCTACCTATCAACCAGGACAGAAGGTATGGCTGTCGACTCGGGACATCAGACTGCGCCTGCCCTGTAGGAAGCTTAGTCCCAGATTTGTTGGCCCCTTCACCATCCTGGAACAAGTAAACCCGGTCACCTTCAAACTCCAACTCCCCTCACAGTACAGAATTCATCCCACATTTCACGTATCACTGCTGAAACCTCACCATGACCCTGTCTCTCTCCCCACAGAGCCTGGCCAGACGGAGGAACCCCCTCTTCCCTTGATCCTGGATGAAGGATCTGTCTACCAGGTGAAGGAAATTCTGCGGTCCCGGCACCATCACTTCCTCCGGACCCGACACCAGTACTCACTGTGACCTAATAAACGCTTTTGTATATAAACTAACCTGTTGTGTCAGACCTCTTCCATAACAAGAATAGTGCAATGGAAAACAAAAAGATATCTCTCAAAATTATAACTTGAATCTGAGAGTATGGTGTTGTCACCTGAATGAACATAACCAAAAAAGTAATTCTGCACTCCATCCCAGAACTTCAATAAGAGTGCCAACAAAAACAAAACTCTTTACGAGTCGAGGCCATACAGGGTTGCCAACTTTGCCAAACAGTTCATTTTATAGTTCATTACTCCAATACCTAAGCCTTCATTTTAAAATTGTAATGATTTAAGCTGAAACTTTTTGATCAAGTGTTTTTAAAGATATGAATTCAAGTGTGTCTGTGCTGTAGGTAGTGTAGGTGATTTATCTTTTCTTTTTCCAGCAATGTCATCCAGTGGTCCACTGACTGAGGAGCTTCAGTGCTCTGTATGTCTGGATGTGTTCACTGATCCAGTCAGCACTCCATGTGGACACAACTTCTGCAAGGCCTGTCTGAATAAGTGCTGGGACAACAGCCAGACCTGCAGCTGTCCATATTCTAAAGAAACATTCAAGCAAAGACCTGATCTCAAGATTAATACCACGCTCCGAGAGATCGTAGATCACTATAAAAACAAAAGTTCTGAGAAAAAAACTGAAGTTCTGTGTGACATCTGTGAGGAAAGAAAGCTGAAAGCCCTGAAGTCGTGTCTGGTGTGTCAGAGCTCTTACTGTGAAACTCACCTGGAGCCTCATTTCTAGAAGGATTTCTCCTCTCTCCTGCTGTAGATTTACTCATCCCTGTGCAGCCCTACAAACACCAGAAACTGGCCTGAGATCAGTATGAAGACTCATCAGAGTCTGGAGACTCCGAGGAGAGCTCTGACTCAACTGCAGGAAACTCTAGATGAGAAACTCACACAAACTGGTATGTGCAGATACATATATTTATTATCTTTTAATATCAGTAATGAAGAATGAGTCTAGGTCAAGCTGAAATAAGAGTGGCTCATTATCAGCACCTCACAGATGGTAAAGAGGACAGGTCATTTTTATCTCTAATTTCAAATTCAAATTCATCTTGTACTAGAAGCTTCATCCCTGTAACCACAACTATTAACCAATATTAAATCAAATTGATAGGCATCAGTTGTTTAAGACGCAAACATGTTCTTCATTAGAATTTGTGTGTCTGAAATGTCTGGCTTAAAGTTCAAAGGGCTTAGTGGTGCTGGACTTTAATTTCAAGTTTCAAAACATTTCATGATGTTTTATTGTCATGTGTCTCTACGGAGCTGAAGTGGATGCAGTACTATGCAGGTACAGTGTGCTGTCTGAACTACACTAGATTACATTCATCTTAAAGTTCAATATTAAAACATCATCACAAAATCTTTGTCGGGGGAAGTTGTGATTAATATTCTGTTTTCCCAGTGGATGTGACTCTGGATCCTGATACAGTTCATGCTTATCGCATCCTGTCTGATGATAGAAAACAAGTGAGAGATGGAAACATTTGGCAGAAACTCTGAGACAACAAAAAGAGATCTGATAGATGTGTACATGTCCTGGGAAAGGAGGGATTTTCCTCTGGGAGAATTTATTTTGAGGTGCAGGTAAAGGGAATGACTGACTGGACTTTGGAGTGGTCAGAGAATCCATTGACAGGAAGGGAAAGATCACACTGTGTCCTAAAAATGGATACTGGACTATGTGGCTCTGAGGAATGGGAATGAATACATTGCTCGGTCTGATTTGTGTCTGCGTCTGTATGAGTACAGTTGAAGCCACAGCGGGTCGGTGTGCTTGTGGATTATGAGGAGGTTCTGGTCTCCTTTTATGATGTGGAGTCTGGCTCTCGTTTCTACTTTTATGCCGGTCAGTCTTTCACTGAAAAACTCTATTCATATATGCCCATGCCTAACACAATGAAGGTAAAAAGTTAAGCCCACTGATCATTACACATCATTATGTAAAAATTTAATGCTCAAATATTTTTTTCAGTGTTTCATAAATGTTTGCCTTTTTTTCTCTCATCTACACCTGACAACATGAAATGATCAGTAAAAAGTTTACATTAAAATAAATCAAACTATGATAACCTTGATATATGCAGTTGTATAGCCTATATTCAGAGGTTCAAACTGTGTATCAACCAATTATGTATCAGTCTGCTATCCAGGACAGTTATTTGTTCAGACTCTATGGGCAGTTTACATAAATCAAGATACTTATGAGTTTGCTCAGAGTCAAGAATATAATGATAGGTCTGACATTTCTGGGTACCTCCACTGCACATGTGGGAGTACAAGGCAATGAAAAACTGGACAATCGGGCCAAACAGGCAATGAAATATATAGACACTTAAATTTAAATAACACAAGCAAAAGCAGAGATAAAAGGACAAATTAATGAATTCATAAATATAAAAAATGTGGGACAGGGAAACAAAGGGCAGACACCTCTACAAAAAACAAGAAGAGTAAAGAAGAGACACTGAACATGTATTATTACATTTTTTTTCTCTTCCTTATTAATGCTGCTTCACACTCCAATATAGTCAATGGCAAACACACACACACACACACACACACACACACAAGAGTTGGTTCGGCAGCCACCATTACATCAAAGAAGTACACGACACTACAATTCCCACAATTCCACGCGGCGGAATGGTAAGTATGAGCGCTTCCGGGTCATCCTCTGATTGAGTGTGTTACTGAGGCTCAAGTTCTCTGTTTTCTCGCTCTTCTCTTTTCTCTGTAAATGGCGCAATGATGTAGATAAGGAGAACATTTGAGACTCTCCATGACATGCGCTACCGGCCTCCGTCCCCGCGGGATTCGGCGTGAAGACTGAGGCGTGAACGTCCGTAAGTCTGATCATAAATCTGATCATAAACAAACACTTTCATCTGCATGACTCGTATTAGACACAGACTGCTCTGCGTATTAGTAAGTTACAATCATTTTATACTGATATCACACATGCAAAAAGAGATTTATTATTTGATTTCAAAATATCATAATATCTGGTATTTCTACACTTTTTATTATAACTTTTAACTATCATGGTATAGTTCAAAGTTCCATAGTATTACCATTTGATACCATAACTGTAATATGGTACAGATGGTGTTACCATAGTGGTACTGTCTAAAACATAGTAATACCATAGTACATTGATTACATTGTTACATTGTAGCTTTGTGAAGTATTTTATATATATATATATATGTGTGTGTGTGTGTGTGTGTGTGTGTGTGTGTATAATGGTTACACTAAAAGATAACAAAACAGTAATTTATGCCTGTGGATGCATTTGTGTAAATGTAATAACTTATAAATATATTTTATTATTATATATTATATTTTAGTTAATGCTTTAAAAAAACAATAATATTTATAGTCCTATTCATTTTATTTATTTATTTATTTATTTTACTTGTATGATTTACAATATTTACAATAATACACAATACATTAATATCGATAGGTTGCATATTCTGAAAAGGTACGTACAATTCTGAGCAGATACATTTGATCCTATGATTATGCTTTTTATTTTTATTTTTTACATATGATATTTGAAATCTTTATCAGATTTATCTTTATCATATATTATATTAGGCATGCAAATCATGTATGATGATATCAGACATAATTCATGCGGGTCCTACAGGAATTGTGGTATTAAATTGAGAACATGGTGAGCTTCTAGAGCACATGCAGATGTGAAGGTGTGTTTTGTTTTGTTTATTAGGAAAGAAGAGGAGGATGTGGCAGAGTGTTGGTTTGACCGTGTTGGTGATCGTGGCCACGCTGATATGTGTCCTCCTCTTCATGCTCTTCGGTAAGTAGCTGCCAAACAGCCTGAGAAAAGATCCTGCAATCCTTCATCTAATGCAACGCCATGTTTAAGTGCGACTCGATTGTCTGAATACTTTTGGGGTCACTGTAGCTGATCTTAAACTAGACATTCAAGGAATTGCATGATTCGGTGAAGTCTATCGCAGTGGTTGCTTACTCCGTGATCTGACGGTCATGAACCTTCAGGAAAAAGCCACACCTTCGGTTACAGGATTTCTCTACAGTGACTTCACAGCCTTGAATTGTGGGCTCATGTGTGAGAATGTGGTCGGTTCAGTCAAGCATCACAAAAATAGACCAGATTTGCTGACTGTCAGTAACACAGACGTCTCATTTCCAGAGTTCACTGAGAGTTGAGTGTTGACTCTAGTCAAGGTTTCTCTGACTGACTCGCATCTGTTAAGGGCACAGTTTCTGTACTGTAGAAACCTCTCAGCTGTTACATAAGCGTGCAATGTCCAGTAAGTCATTTGAGAAGTTGTGTCATCATGTCAGACGCAGGTTTGGAGCAGAACGATGTAGCTCACTGCACTGAACGTGCCAACACTTGTGTGTATGAGGAAGATGCTTTTTCTGGGTTACTACCTAAAGTGTCAGAATATGTAATGAATTAAAATAAAAAATTCTACCAAGAATGAGCCTAGGTTATATTTTACCAATAAAATTAATGCAAAAGCAAGTTTTTTTTTTTTTTTCTGTTGCATTTGTTAGTCTTTCTTAATATTAGTTTTTAAAAAGACAATTGTTCATTGCTTAATAATGTGTTAGTACCGGTACATAATGCATTAACTAATGGTAAAAAAATGCAAACTTTTGGTTTTAAAAATGCATTTGTAAATGTTTAAATTTACAAATTCTTATTTTAATTATTGCATATTGTATCCCAAAATCAAAAGACAATTTGATCATTTTCTTTTGCATAAAGAAAATTACTATTTTAAATTCTGATGTTATTTGCATGACAATTTCTCACTACATTTTCATTAGCATAATGCATTCAGATATTTTACATTTTATTCTTATTATGAATTCATATTTCTTCCGAAAGTAAAAGAAAAAAAAAATTGCAATGTTAAGATTTTTAGGATATTTTCTATTGACATTATTATTATTATTATTATTATTATTATTATTATTTACATTTTCCTAGTAAAGTCTTATTACCATAATGTTCCATATGTTTTACATTTGATTCTATTTTTATTTTCATTTGAATTATTTTACTTTTCATATTGTACCCAATAATGGAAGAGGGGGAAAAAAATAAATTATATTTTGCATAAATAAGTCTTACATTTTCCTACCAAATTCTCATGACCATAATGCATCCAGGTTTATTTTTTTTACATTTTAATCTTATTATGAATTCATATTTCTTCCCAAAGTAAAAAAAAAACAACAACTGATTTTAAGATTTTTAGGATATTTTGCATTGACATTATTATTATTATTATTATTATTATTATTATTATCATTTTCCTAGTAAAGCCTTATTGCCATAATGTTCCATATGTTTTACATTTGATTCTATTTTTATTTTCATTTGAATTATTTTACTTTTCATATTGTACCCAATAATGGAAGAGGGGGAAAAAAATTATATTTTGCATAAATAAAAGTCTTACATTTTCCTACCAAATTCTCATGACCATAATGCATCCAGGTTTATTTTTTTTACATTTTAATCTTATTATGAATTCATATTTCTTCCCAAAGTAAAAAAAAAACAACAACTGATTTTAAGATTTTTAGGATATTTTGCATTGACATTATTATTATTATTATTTACATTTTTCTAGTAAAGTCTTATTACCATAATGTTCCATATGTTATACATTTGATTCTATTTTTATTCTCATTTGAATAATTACTTTACTTTTCATATTTTACCCAATTTTCATATTTTACCCAATAATGAAAGGGAAACAAATAGTCATAAACTGTATTTTGCATACTTTTAATATTGAGAAAATTTTGACATTTTCCCACTAAATTCTTATTACCATAATGCATTCAGATAATTTACATTTGATTTATATTATGATTCTCATTAGTTTTATGTTACAAAATGTTACATTTTAGCATTTTTTGTGAGAAATTTTGACATTACATAGTGTAACAGTTGGGTCACAATGCAAACTCTTAAAGTTTGTAACATTAAACTTGGTTGGATTAACAAAAACTTTTAACTGCTGTTAACTACTGTCTACAAATGGCTAAACAGTTCTCAGCAAAATGAAAGGTAAGTCAAATTTGTCAGGCATCTGAAGTGCATTCTAGCTGAATCTGTGCTTTATCATACAGTTAATGCAAATGCTTCAGTCTGAACCAGAGTCAAATTGGAGATAGAAATGCAAAGGCATATCAGCTCACTCCTAGTTCCAGTGTACTCCTGACAGCCAACTTGTGTCTGTGTTTGTAGGGTGGTACGTGGTGTGGCAGCTCTTCCTGTCTAAGTTTAAGTTCCTGCGGGAGTTGGTGGGAGACACCGGTTCTCCGCAGGCTGAAACCGAGCCCTCCGAGTCCGAGAGTGAACGCAGCTCGCCCCCGACGCCCCGCCACAGACCCAAAAGCGTTCGCCAAAGGATCGTCCCTCCTGACAGCACTACATAGAGCCCTGAGCCAGATCTCCTCCAGTTCACCGCCATAAGCGTTATGCTGTTTTAGGCTGGACGTGAGGTCATTTGTGTCCCGGACCTGCATCAGTCACTGTGCTCTCCTTCACATCCACTCATCATGGTTACACTCGTTCACAGTCGGTCTGAAGACACGGTTTTTTTGTATGAACCGGCTGAGCCACACGTTCATGTCCCGACTAACACGCTGCTGCCCTCCACTCCGGATGTATAGTATATTTACGTGAGAGCGTATTGATATGTATTTGTTACTGTTTAACCAATCTGTTAATGACTCAAGCTCACAAAAAAACAAGCTGATGACCAAACGTCCAGTGTTTCTGTGAGCTAACAGCACTACTATTCACAATGTATGGAAGCTGTTTCCGCCACAGAATAAAAAAAAAAGGTAATTACGACTTTTTATCTCACGATTCTGATGGAAAAACATCTCACAATTCTGACTTTTTTCACTCTGAATACTGAGTTTACATAAAAAAGCTAATTGCGTCTCTCTGTCTCACAATTCTTTGACTTTTTTTCCTTGTAATTGCGAGTTTATATCTCACAAATCTGAATTTATATTGAACAATTCTGACTTTTTTTCTTACAATTTATATTTTTCTTTTCATAATTGTGAGTTTATATCTAAGTATTGTATTACCTTTTTCATTCTTTTATTCCATGGCAGAAACAAAAAGACAAAATTGTAAATTTACTATTGTGTGAAAGAAAACCCCCTCACAATTGTTTTTTTTTGTTTCCAGAATTTTTTTTTTGGACAGTTTATTTAGTTTATTTTTTGAGAGAAAAAAATTGTGAAAAAGTTAAAGTCGCAATTACCTTTTAATTTAAATTTTTTTTGTGACTGAAACAGGCTTCCATACAAATTTGTCCAACAAGTGCAATGAAAGCTTCTTTATTTGTCACAAAGTAAACAAACATTTTGACAGGACTGCACACCCTACCAATGTTAAGAATAGGCACATTAGGATGACGTTTTTGTCAAATTTCCTTCGCTCCCAACACAGCATAGTGCTTTATGATGGCTGCCATCAGTCGCCTCCGCTCCGCATCGTTGTGCCTCTGGCTTGGGTTGAAGTCGTCCTGTTTGAGCGGATGGATCTCGGATACTCCTGCTGTTCCCAGCTTTAGAGAAGCATTAGAGCTAGAGATGCTGCACTGACCTCAGGTCAGCCCGACCCTGTCTGTGTGTGAAACTGTCCACAGGTCAGCTTCCGAAGAAATGCCGTTATCACCAGTGTAGACGGTCACATGTTTTTTTTCTTTCTTTTTTTGGTCCCTTTTATGACAGTAAATGTTTTCCCTTCATAATAAATATATTTCATAAAACATTTAAGTTGTTTATGTGAACTGACTTCAGTGCACATTTTTAATGCATATTTTAAATATACTTCTAAAACATAACTCTGACAGTCTCAGGCTTATTGCTGTAATTTAAAAGTCAGTTCTTTTCTCAGGTATTGTTTTGTACTTCAGTAATCAGTACTTACTCATAAAACACCTGGGTTTGTATTTTATAATCAGTTTGGTGGCCACATGAATTTTCCTGGTACGACTGTAGTGATTTTGCTGTAGTACAAAACATGTCCACTGGATGGCAGTAAAATGCGAATACAATAACACAGTAAAGCCTAAAGTTGTGAAGTGTTTTCAAAAAATTTAATTGTCTCCAAAAAAATTAATTGGCTTCTAGTTTAAAATTTAAACTGACTGGCTTTAATCAGTCTTTAAAAGAAAAGAATAAACTAGAATGAATATATACTGCATATATTAACATATTAGTAGGTTTGCTGAAATTTAAACCCTATTATAGTATTAGTAGGGCCTGCTTTTGTCGTTTAATAATGGTACGTAATAATTTATTACCATAATGCATACATTTTACGTCAGTCGCATTATTATTACTATTATTATTATTAACAAATGCAAAAGCACTCTGATCACCTTTTCTGCGTCAGCACATTCTGCTGCACTACTGAGAATGTCCACAAGGGGGGCAGTAAAAGGCGAATAAAATAACAGCAGGGCCTCAAGGTGTGAACGTTTTCAACCACTCTAACAATAATAACAGCAACAACTATAATAATGCTTCTAAATTAGAACCTAAAATTAATAACACTTTTAGAGTTTGCAGTATAACTTTAATTATATTATTGTGCAGTAAAATATAAACATGAAAAGTTCAGCTGAAATACTTTCGCTGCACTACAAAAAAGTCCACCAGGGGAATAAAATAATACTAGAACCTGAAGGCGCGATGAAGATAGATAGATAGATAGATAGATTTGTTAATAAAATAATTGAATGTCACATTCATTAAATGTTATTAAGAAATAGGCGGGGCTCAGCGGACCGGGAGCTGCCCCTGACTTTGAGTCTAAATAATAAATTTGCCTATTTTAACCTGTATTTTAAGACTAACATTATGTATCGTTATTCACTTTTATTACTGTCATTTCTCAGGAATAAAATAATATTCACACAGCTACTGGAGAGCCAGATAAACATCATTGTCACGTCGTACCTGTTACTTTTCTCAGCGCTGATAATAATTGACTGATCAGAGTCGTTTGTGATATCTGTACAAGGTATTTTATTTAGACCTAAACATTTATAGAGATTGCTTGGGCGGTATTAATTAATTAATATGTTTGAATAATTAATAATTACACTTGGTGCCAAATATCTTAAGGCAAAACAAACAAAAATAATAATTAAAAAACTCTTCTGTTCTCCCGAGCGCCACCTGGTGGAAGCTGCGTGCAGTGGACATGTAAGCGCCTGCAGCTGCTTTAATTAGCAGCAGACCGTTCAGTAATTTGAAAGAGTTCCTGGTCCTCTCTCTATCCATATTATTTTAAAACATGGTAAATATATAACCTGTAGCTTGTTTATTGAAGATGCAGGACAACCACCTAGCAGTGCATTACAATAGTCCAGTCTAGAGGTCATGAATGCATGAACTAGCTTTTCTGCATCAGAAACAGGTAACATGTTTCGTAGCTTGGCAGTGTTTCTAAGATGGAAGAATGCTGTTTTTGTAACATGGGAAATATGAGTTTCAAAAGACAAGTTGCTATCTAATATATTATAATATATAATTTATTATTATTATTATTTGATTTAAATTATTTATTTATGTATTTGTTTTTGTACTAGTATTAGTAGTATTTATTGCTATTTGTACTTCCTCTGCCTTTTTTTATTAAGTCTGGTTCTTCAACCCTTGGTAGGGTTAAATGGCTTTTTCACGCTTCTTTTCAGTCTAGTAATTAAGCTAAAAAACCAAAAACAACCGAAAAATAACTCTTGACAGATGTGAAACTCAATTAGATAAAGAAACTGAATTTTTCTTGGGTGATTCAGAAGAGGAGTCTCAATGTTGAGTCTTTCATATTTTAGTGTTTGACAGGTTGTTTATTTAATGACTCTTTCGTGTTTTTCAAAGAGTTGATTTTCAGCAAATTGCATGAAAACCAACACAAAAATTGTAACAGTTTGTAAAGCTTTTCCATGTGTCAACTTTGCATGCGCATTCATGACCCTAAAAGAGAAATATTTAAGAAATAAATAGTTAACCAGTATTTTAAGCAGATTGAAAAGTAAGTCTGGGTCAAACTGACACAGCAGGAGGGTTGTAAAGTCAATATGAACTCAAAATGTACTATATTGTTTTACTGTGTTGTCACATTTTGGATTATGCAAGTTGCAAATGATGTTTGTGCTTTTTGAGCTTCCTGAATACTAAATGCAATATGTTGTGAGCGCCACCTGGTGGAAGCTGCGTGCAGTGGACATGTAAGCGCCTGCAGCTGCTTTAATTAGCAGCAGACCGTTCAGTAATTTGAAAGAGTTCCTGGTCCTCTCTCTATCCATATTATTTTAAAACATGGTAAATATATAAAATATACGCTGGGTAAATGAAATGAAAGAGCTCCGAAAAACTTTGCCAGCAGTGTTTGACTAGAAACGCAAGATGTCAAGCACTTACGCAGAAACCGTCAGAATATATTTTTAAAGAGAGGTGCCCACCCTTTTGTCTGTCCACAACGTTTTAAAATCTATTGAAATATATGCAGCATTTACGAAATGAAAGAGGTAAGAGAGGCTTTGCCATGCACAGAAGCTGTAATTTTGAGGCCTTAGAATACTTCACAGGAAATGGTTGTGGTAAGCCACGGAAATGACATCGCCAGAGCTGCTCTAGTCGCCACTGTATTCACAGGTCAGACCTTCCCGTTCTCCTTTTTCCTTTCTTGCTTTTCTGCATCAGGGTTGCAACATCATCGCTACAAACATGTGGTGTCATTGTTTGTGACACAACAAACATGTTCTGCAATGTGAGGGACCTTTCTGCTGTTGCATGTCAACATCATTAAAAGTTTTGGGAAGCGTTTGGAATTAATGCTTCAAAGTGCACATATTCATGTACATCTATTACATACTAACATTATGCACGTACTGGACATGGAAAAGTATGTATACATGCATATTTGCATCTTGATACCGCAGACCCCTATATTGTGTAGCTACTTTTTCATCAGAGGTAAAAAACGATATAAATACTGTTCAGTTTTTTGCACAGACCGATCGTTTCGGGTCTTTTCACATCAATGTATCATCAAGAGCCGCAGGGTTTCATTTGGTTTTGTTTGTGTATGTTTTTTTGACTCTCAAAGCCGTGATTGCCATCCACTTCCATTATATGACTGACAGACTGCAACGGTTTGAGTTAAAAATCTTCGTTTGTGTTCTACTGAAGAAACAAAGTCACCTACATCTTGGATGCCCTGGGGGTAAGCAGATAAACATCAAATTTTCATTTTGGGGTGAACTATCCCTTTAAGTTCACTTGAAGAGGTGAATCTAGGTGGTTGACTTATCTAGTGTGAGCCGTGAAGCAGTGATTGGATAACTCATCCCTCCCTCCTCAGGCTCTCTAATTCAGTGCAGATCCAACTCAAGACACATCCAAGACCGCAGAACTCCCCCTGATGCCATTACAAGAGTGAGATAAATCACTAGGAAAGGGTCTGGAGAGAGCGATGGTAAGAATTTACCGCTCTCTCACCACGTTTAATGAAAGCTTTTTTCAAAAGGCTTTCTCTTTGTTTCCCCGAGGAGAACTTAGTCCTGAATGCGGAAAATGTTTAAATCGTTAATTACGTG